ATACTATTATTAATAGCAATAATAAAATTGAATGTGACATCCTACTTTAATCATGCATGTAAGGTATGGGTGGAATTAAAAGTAAAATATTATATATATATATATATATATATATATATATATATATATATATATATATACTAAATGATTAGAATCGGTAATCGCTTGATTAAAAAGTTTGGTATTCAAATTGATGCGGAATGAAATATTTTCTTTTGTAAAAAACAAGATAAAGTAGACCTTATGATATAAGAAATAAACTGAAAAAGAAATCTCCTCTTACTTCTTTCTGAGTTTATGGTAGGTTTTACAATTAGTGTTTTAGTTCGTGAATCATTTTGCCTCTCTCATATATTTATCAGTAATCGGGTTGATGGATCCAGAAAAGCGGATCCGTAAGTATGGAATAGCCGAATAGGTGTATCGTTGTACCTTGAGAACCTTCGTTGCTGCCCTAACCTCACCTCACCTCACATGGCCTCCGTCTCGGCCTCTAATCCCAAGTCAGGTGTGACCTCCAAGAATATAAATTCAAATATATTTTATTTTATGGAATCACTATTTCTAATTTTTCGGATGATATAAACGGGTTGACGGATCTATTTGCACGAGAAAAAAGGCCACATTCGATGCGATGGATTGAACGGCTGACATAAGTATGAACTTGCACGAGTATTCAGATCAAGTGGTTATCGAGTTCCTAATTAATCCTTCAAATAATGAAGGCACAATCAAATTCAATTCGAGTAAAAGTTGTGTAAATTAAGAAATATATATTTATGAGATTAAAAAAAGATAAATAAAAAAATGGCATAGTTTATAGAAAAAGCAAATCATCCGATGAATTCAAAGATCTTTGGGTTGACAAGCTGACAAAAATAACGATCAAACAGGTAGACGAGGAACGGCCTGATTTGGTGGGCTGAGACTGATACCACTTTTTTCGATGGGGCATTACGTCAAACAAAACCAACAGGAAAAGTAATACTGGAATTTAGCAGCTGATACACGAGTCTTTCACAGAAGAAGAACACAACAATTAAAGTGCCTATCGATTAGAAAGGTCAGAATGAAATAAATCAAACCACTCCCGTTGTTGCTTCGATAGAAGGACTGTTGCAGAATGCGCCAACG